CCTCCCTGGTCCTTCAGATTATATGAAGTTATAAAATCTGATCAGCAGACTCTCTTGTTGCATGAAACTGTGGTATGTCAGCTCATCAGGATAACCTGCATTTAAACACACCCTTCCTTGGGAAAACCAGCCAGTCCTCTCTGCTGCACCTGAGGTCTTGGCCAAGGCAGCAGCCAACACCGAGAGCTTTGGCAGTTACTGAAAGTAATGTTTTATAGGATACAGAAAGATCTGAGGAGAAATTCTGTGGCAGAAAATGAGGTTACAGCTCCATCACCTTAAGCTCTTCCATCCTCCTCGGGCTCCCAGGGAAGTGGTCACGGTACCAATCCTGTCAGGGTTCAAGGAGCATCTGGACGACACTCTTACCTGTGTGGTTTCATGTTAGGTACTTCTGCGAGGAGTTGGACTTGATGATCCTTATGGGTCCCTTCCAGCTCAAGTTATTTTATGATTCCGTGAGTTGTTCCTATTTCCTTTCCCTGGAAAGAACAAGGCTCAGCCATGCAGTGGCTCGGGTCAGGAAGCTGACCCAGCTGAAAACATTGTTTAACTTTCAGATGGATCAGCTTTTTGATTTGAATGTCCAGGGAACTGGACGCAGGCACAAGAGAAAGGGCTGTGTGTAGTAAGGAAGAAGAGATGTCCTCACTCAGCATCCACATTTAAGTCCATGGTTCCCCGATCACTCTGAGCTACTCAAGAGTGCAGGTCCCACAGGTAGTCCTTGAGGAATGGGCTCCTCAATCACATTGGCACTTGAGAAAACCTGTTTGGCTTTTTAAATTGAATAATCTGTACAAGTTTTCTACTTCCTCTTCAACCACCTGAAGCATATGGGCTGCAAATCTGATTTGACCCATGCGTGATAGCAGTTTCTTCAAACTCAGCCTCACCTCACGGCAGCAAAGACAAGTTTCCACATGAGAACCTGATGTAAATTGATGCAGGGAAAGCAATAGGTGGTTTCATCTGTCTCACCACAGCATCCTCTCTCAAGCTCAGTGATGGCATTTCAGTGTAGCGTGAATATCCCAGCTGTGCTTATTCAAAGATCAAAGTGGTTCATCTGGAGCTGACTAAAATGATATTTGTTTGTTAGGCACATGCTGCATCACCCTTAGGTCCCTCTCCCTGCACACTGAGAGCTGCTCTGCACCACAAAGAGTGACATCCCCAGTGCACACCACAGGAGACACCACAGAGGTGTGGAGTCCTGCATGCCTTGCCCAGCGTGGGATGGACCTTGCGGGTCTCTTAGGGCCCTCAGTGCCCGTCTGCTCTTCCCCCCAGATGCCCAGAGGGATGTCCTTTTGGATTCTCTTTATCTGTGTCAGCATTAAGTCCTTTCTGACTCATGCCAAGTGCCTAGTCTCAGAGATGCCCAGTCCCAGCTTTTTCAAACTAGGTGAATGATCCCTTTTCCTGGTTCCAGCTCTATTCCCAGTTTCATGGCAGCTCCTCAGGTTCACCTTGTCCTGGTCCCAGTTTGACTTTCTCAGAAAACCAGGACACACATCTTGTGAGAAAGTCAGACTGGGACCTGGTCTAGGGCTGGTCCTGATGCTCCCAGCACCATCAGCACTGGGAGAACAATATGGAGCTGAATTTCCTGCTGCATTACAGCTGCTTTGCTCTAGCAGGACCTGCGAGCGTTTGCCGTGCCCTGTCCTGCCCAGGCTTCCTTCACTCCGAAATTTGCCCAGGAAACAGCCATTGCTTCTTTCCAAGATTTGTTCTTCTCCCCATCTCCTGGATGATTCCTCCTTCCTTCCACCCCACCAAGTTGCTTCAACCTCCACTCGCTTTTGGGAGGCATCTTTTCATGGGTCCTCTGGTGTTCCTGACCCTCCCCAGAGTGAGAGAGAAGCCGCAGCAGATGGTGTTATGGGAAGGTGTGGGTACAGACACAGGCACACGCAGACCCCTGCGCCGCATTGTAACAGAAAACAGTGGATGTCTGACTCTTGCTCGGCGGTGTTTGCAGCCGTGGCCAGTGTTGGTGTGTTGGTTTGGGGTCTGCTGGCTGCCTGCTCCAGGCCACCACTGGCCATGGAGTGAGCTGGCTGCCCCAGGCAGCCTGCCAGTGCGCTCTGTGGGAAGGACCAGGGAGCCTTTGAGCGCTGTGAAAGCTCTGCTTACCCATCCCCACGCTGTGTGAGGTCCATTGATTCCTGCACTTGGCCACAGGGCTTGACGAGAATGGCATCTACCAAACAAACCCACCACCCCCTCGGGGAACCCGACAGAGCTTCTGAGTGATGTTCTCCCCCCCGTATGCAGCATACCTGTGAATACCAGTGTGTGCAGTCAATAGGCTCCACCTGACATCAATAGAGCAACATGGTCAGAAAAATCTATTTAGAAACATCTACAGATGGGTATTGGCAAAGGTGAGGAGGCAGATTGTTGTCTCTAGGGAGTGTGTTTGTGCACCTGGTGCTCTGTGTTGGTTTGTCAGTGACTCCTCTGTGAGTCGCAAGCCTCTTCGTTGCTAAGTCTCAGCTTTTGCAGGAAAGACTGTTTTCTCACTGAAACTGAACACACTTGACAGAGAATTCAGTTGTTGTTTGGAGGAAAAGACGTGAGATAGACTAGGGTCAACTTCTGATCTAATTTCTGGGTTCTGAATCACTTTAGGACAGTTGCTGGGGTTAGGTGCAGACAGAAGCTGCCTCTGCTCTTAAAAATGATGCCCAAATGGCTCTGCCTTTACATTTAACAGAAAAGGACTGGCTGTTTGGAAGTGGAGGATGAAAGCACCAACAGCGCAGCCTTCTGTGGAACTTGGAGGAAAAATGGACTCAGGTGAGAACAAAGAAGAAAAAGTTGACATGGGGTCAAACCACCTTCAAATCCCACCTGCAGTTTTCCTACACTTGCTACATGTAATAACTAGTTCTTCTCTCCAGCCCTCCTGTGGAACTATTGCTCTTCTTGACATATGAAGGGGTTGAGACTGTGCAGTCCCAAACTAGCCCCTTCCCAATGCACCCGTTGGAACTGCTTCCCAGTGCCGCGTCTGCTCCGGGGTACCCTTAGAGGCTCCCTCCAGCTTTGTGTTTTAAGGTGTTTGTAATGGCAGCTGCATCTTCACCAGCTTCCTAGAGAGCCAAGCAGCTGAAGCTGATGGATCCCTTGCTCTGTCAGCTGGAGCTGTGATCTCAGCGACCTCGAGCTGAGTGAAGACTCGGGTTAACCCACCATGCCACGCTTCCTGCTTCAGTCATACAGGCCACAGATGGTGGGGTTTCTTGAGAATTTTGACCATTACTCTTCCTTGGCCAAACTCATGACAATCTACCAAGCAACCAACAGGACCATCTTCAACTGGACAGACAGCCGCATTGTTGAGTGGGAGAAATTTGCTGAGCTGGCTAAATACGAGCCAGAATCCCAGAAACCAACAGTGAAAGCTCTCCTAATTGTGGCGTACTCGGTCATTATCATCATGTCTCTCTTTGGGAACATGCTGGTGTGCCATGTGGTGCTGAAGAACAAGAGGATGCACTCAGCCACCAGCCTTTTCATCGTCAACCTGGCGGTGTCTGACATTATGATCACGCTGCTCAACACACCTTTTACCCTGGTAAGTGGCCCACTTAGTGCTGTCCCTTCAGCCAGGACAGGAGAATGCTCTGCCTGGTGGTCACACCTTCTCTGTGCATGCTCTTCTAGGACTGAGGCGCGAACCCAACACAATCAAGTCTAATAGACAACTCTGCCAGGCAAGTAAAACACTGCTCAGGAGCCCGTGGGCTCCCTTTGCTTCATTAGACCCTGTATCTCCTCGAAGACTCTAAGGTCTCTCCAAGTGTGCCACCAAACCACAGCAGGAGCTTATTGGGGAATGGAGAATAAGTGGCTGGATGAACAGGTTCTTTCAATGTAGACACAGGAGAGCACTAGAGAGTCACACTTAGTGGGTCAAAACAACTCGAACATTAGTTACACTCAGGTGACTGGAAAAAAGTAGTCAAGCTTTTCAGATCTGCCAGCTGGGTAAAGTCTCCAGTGAAAGCTCTCCAGACCTGAAGGTGGTTTGTGTGACCAAAACTTGGTCCACTTTACCCAAATGCAGTTGTTAGTATAATCAAAAGAGTTATTACGGCTGTTTACGAACGGTGTTTGTGTGAACAAGCCGGGAGGGCTGCAACAGCACCACTTGTCATCTGAGGGTTTGAATTTATAAACTCGTATGTAAAGGTGTTTCAAAATCCAGCGTAGCTCATCTTCCTTTGGGTTTCAGATGGTGCTGTCCAGTCAGCCAAAGCCCCCGTGCCAGCTTCAATGCAATCCTGAGGGTTTCTCCATGAGGTTTTTCCATCCATTTGCTGGCTGATGACCTGTTGTGTTCCCCTCAGGTTCGGTTTGTCAACAGCACATGGATCTTTGGAAAGGCCATGTGCCACATCAGCCGCTTTGTGCAGTACTGCTCCCTCCACGTCTCCACGCTGACCCTAACGGCCATCGCCCTGGACAGGTACCAGGTAAAATGCCCTCTGGCTGCCATTCCCCAGCCAGGCTCTTCCCCAGCCCCTGCCAGTCTCAGTCAAGTCGTGGGTTCGTGGCTGGATCCTGGGGATTAAACCCGCACCCAGTGAGAAGACTCTAGAGCTATGTTCAAAGACACCCCTCGTGTGTCAAGAGTGGGAAGGCTGGATGGACTCCTGCAGGGTCCCAGGCAGGGGACGGGAGGGAAGGAACAAAGTGTGGCATCACAGGTTTCACACAACACTCCCAAACTTTCTGTGGAAAAGCATGAGGACACCTTATTCGAGTAGTTTGAAATGAGCCATGTCCCCAGGGATCGCAGGGCAAGTTGATTCAAGAGGCTTCATTTTACGTGGGGGTCTTGGAAGGCAGCAGAGCCAACTCTGAGTGCAGAGCATTACTCCAGCTGTGCAGGGAACTTTTCCAAGCTTTTTAGTTTAGCACCAAACCCCCAAGACCAGTCTGCAGCATCCTGAGCTTAGATTCTGGTTCAGTTGCCTGTTTGTTCTTTTGCTCTTCTTTCCCCGTTGGGCATTTGCTGCACCATCCAGTTGCAGGGCAGTTGGAGTAAAGAAATTCTGTGACTAAAGTCCCATGGTATAGTGATAGGACTAATGTGGGACCAGCATAAAGGAGAGCAGCAGGGTGGGAAATCTCTGTTGGAAATGCTGGGAGGGGACCTCACAGCTGTGAGAAGACCATCCCCACTGCCCACCTGCAGCCTGGCTGTGACGGACACTGGTGTATTCCCAGTGTGGGAAGGGGGGAGCAGACCCCACCACACGCTTCTCTCTATCAACCACCCTCCTTCCTTCTGCCATCAGTCACACAGTGTCTGCCAGACTCTCAGAGTTTATAAGCTCTTTACCTTTCCATCTAACAAAGAAAATTTCATAAAAGGTGAGTTAATGCCTCGAAAGACGGGAGAAGGGCTCAGCTTGATAAGTTCAACAGGAGACATTTCTTTGTGTAATTTCTATAGAATAAACAAACACACCCATAAGTGAAGAGACTTGTGTAGATTATCTTATTTTTTTCCTACTTAATGTAATCCATGATTGAAGGAAAATGGTCCTCACAGAACAAAATAGAGGAAAAAGTTTATTTGAAAGCACTTCTGAGCAGACTGAGAAGTTCCATGTTTCCCATTTTCCAGGTCACTCTAATAAGCAGGGCATTTTCCTAATCGCAACTGTCATTTTCTTAACAGCACCAGATCATGTCTGAAAGCGCCTCTGCTGTGTGCAGTGGTGGAGGGACTTGGCTTTCCCTGCGATAGAGTCACGGCGAAGTCTCTGTTGCAGGTCATCCTGAACCCGCTGAAGCAGAGGATGTCACTGACGAAGGGAGCGCTGAGCATCTCTGTCATCTGGCTGATGGCAACCTGCTTCTCCTTGCCCCATGCCATCTACCAAAAGCTGTTCCAGTATAACTACAGGTGAGTTATTTCCCCTTTGGAGCGAGCGTGCAGAGGTCCAGCAGCGGGGAGAGCTGCTGGAAGGACTCCCAGGCTTGGGGAAGGGAGAAGCGGAACGGGTTGGGGCTTGTACCTGGATGGAATCTCACCTTCCCCGGCTGAGGCTGGGCCGGCTGGAAGAGCCGCCTGGCTCCCTGCAGAGTCTGCACCTCCTCGGACCCGGGTCTGCTTTTGCCATCACCCAAACGCCTGGAGGAGAGGGATGAGTCTGGTCTCCACAGCCTCATGCTGGTGGCCAGCTCCAGGCACAGCCAGGTGGCCAGTGCAGCCTGGCCAGGGCACAGCAGGTCCATCAGACAAACCTTCTCCAGTGTCATGACACCATCAGGAGAGGCTTTGTCCCGAGAAGACCGTTTTCTCCTGAGGGCCTTTCCTCTTCCCTCCTCACGCTTGCTCAGCTCCTTAGAAGACCATGTCCAGCCAACTTGCTCAGGCAAGGAGAAAGGAGAGAGCTGAAGCTGCAGTTTGAAAAAGAAAGAAAACAGAACTCATGGTGTGAACATCTGGTACTGACGTTAGCAAGACAAGAGAAAGAGCAGGGAGGAGAGGACCTTTGTGAGTCAGCTGGGCCATGAACTCCAGGTCTCCAAGACTGCCTACGCTGTTTCACACATTTTAGCTTCCTTGCATTTCATCCGTCTGGGTTTATGAAACAGGACCAGCCTTCCTTAAAGCTTGAGGCTCCTCTGCCCAACATTACATAAACAAGAAAAGGAAAAGAGAAGCCTCTGCTGTGCAGCAAAGGGCTGGTGAGAGGAGCAGAGCTTGGCCAGGGGAGCAGGGTCATCTCTGAGCGCTGCTTTCCTTCCCAGCGGGGAAGGGAGCTCTGTGCTTGGCTGAACAGAACAGAAGCTACTGAAAGGAGGTGAAGTGGAATTTCACACCTGTGTGCTGTTCTGGCCCTCTTGTCCTCACCAGCCTGTGGCATTGCTGTGACTCCTTCTGGCCAGAAAACAGTCCCTTGTGCTACAGGAACTGGTGCTTTTTGTGGTGGTGTGTCCCACTGCTGGTGCCTGCAATTCCCAGGAATGCTGACCTCGAGGCCAAGGGGATAATCTTACAGTGATCAGTATTTCCAACCTGAGCGTGACGTCCCAGGGAGCAGAGTAAGGAGGCAGCAGGAGAAAGATTTCTACTGTAGATATTGAGCTTCTCTATAAAGGACAAATATCTTCCTAGGGCACAGCCACTTCTCTCCCATCAGCATGGCAGGGAGAGCGCTGGAATGCCCACACAGGCCTTTTATTCCTGTTTGTGTACAGAATCCCAGAATCACCTGGATTGGAAAAGCCCTTTAAGCTCATCGAGTCCAACCATGAACCCAACACTGACCAGACCCCGACTAACCCATGTCCCTCAGCACTATGTCTACATGACTCTTCAATCCCTCCAGGGATGGGGACTCCACCACTGCCCTGGGCAACCCCTTCCAATGCCACAGAACCCTTTCAGCAAAGAAATTCTCAATTTAAAACAGCATGAGAGGTTTACAGAAAATGGGAGCGTAATGGGGTGCTTCGCAGCTCTTCCTACCTCATGCTTGTGCTTGGTTTGACTGAGACACCTCCCTGGGGGATAGAATATCTTCAACTGCTTGGACTTTGTAAACAAAGTGCTGGGTTACTCCTGTACTCGCATTGCGTGGCAGCTGTGCTCAGGGCATTACTGAACTAATTGCTCATGAATGAACAAATGCCACTATCCGTTTCACAGCACCTGTCTCGGGTTGTCCTTCAGCGCGGCCAGAGGAAACCTGGCCCTGCAGTGGCATGAGGCAGCGTGGCGATATAAGGACTTCCAGGACGTGCTATTCTCATCCCTGCTTTCCATTGAATAAAAATCACAGTTGTAATACGCTCATAATAGCTCCTACAGGGCCAGCAGCTCCTGAGAAGTCCCACCAGGGAGCTGTCGGGATTCTGGGGACAGGAGAACATGGGCTCCATCAAACCTCTCTGGCTGCGGCACGCAGCGGTGTGGCCAAGTCCACGGTAGTACCAGAACTTACCAAAATACAGCATCCTGTCTGGGTTTGCTCTCAATCAGCCTCGTCCCTGAAATAATTGTGAGCCTCCTCCACAGACCCACGCCCCTTTTTCAGAGGGTGAGAGGGACAGGCAGCAAGGGCAGCAGCTTTGGGGGGTTTTGGGGGGTCACTGTGGGCTCACTGCTGCTCGCTCTCTTCAAATGCATTTTTAAGCACCCAAGTGTCACCCTCGCAGACCCCAGCCATGCTCCAGCACCGACGGCCACAGCCCCAGCCCTGGCCTGAGCTCAAGGCGTTCCCCAAAGGGATAATCCCTGGGGGGTGGTGAGGGGTGACCACCCCATCATCCCCCATCGTCCCCCATCCCGCAGCAGCGTTGCTTTTTGGCCGCAGCTGTGGCAGGTCTGACCCTGTGCTGTGGTGTCCCTGTGTGTGCTGCGCTGTCACCTTGGGCGCTGTGGTGTCACCGTGGGTCCCGCAGTGTCACTGTGGGTGCCATGGTGTCACCATGGGTCCCACAGTGTCACCTTGGGTGCTGTGCTTGTTTCCCCCACCAGCTCTCCAGTGACTTTGGCAGGTCCCCTTTGGCAGGCAGAGGAGCTGGCCTGGCCTGTGCTGAGATGGATTCTGGGGAGGAAAAGGTCAGGAGCATGGTTCACAAAGGCCGATTGTCCCTTCTGCGTCAGTTCCCCTCCTGATGAACATCTCCAGGGTCCTCCACAGCCACGCTCAGCGGAGCTCTGCTCCCGCACCCTTTGTCATCCCTCCGGCAGCCGCAGCCCTCCACTTTCAAGCAATCTTCTATTTGTGGCACAAAAGCCAGCTCCAGAGATTGAAAACAGGATATTAAAGATGTTAATCAATGCTGCAACAAATAATGTGGCTTGATGGGGACTAAAGTCTGTGCTGAAAACAAGCGAGCCAAGGCCAAGGGTTGAAGAGAGAAGGGCAAAGTGGAATAGGAGAAAGAAAAAGAGGAAAAAAAGGAATGAAAAGGATAAAACGTCCACCGGAAATAGATGTGCGAGTGCTCCTGTCTGCTGAGGTGTCATCGCTTCCACTCACCTGCTGCGGGGTGCGGAGGGGACACGTGGTGCTCTGCTGAGGGTCCTGGCTGCATCGGCTGAGAGCTGCTGCCAGCGAACGGAGCCAGGACCCACTGGGCTGAAGTGATGTTAAAATAAACCATTGCACCCAGTTAAACCCAGTTCTGCTGTTAGCAAACCATCAGCAGTTCAACTGTCAGGCTGGAGGTAAACCCGAGCTAAGCCACCAGGATCTCTAATCACCGTGCTTGTTTTAAGACGTAGCAATAAGGTTTGAACAGCCAGAAAAGCTGATGGAAGCGGGATGGTTGGCACGGGAAGGAGGGTGAGCTGTCCCTGCAGGTGGGGTGGTGGCTGGGAGCTGGTCACACCCCGTCCCCTTCCGTCCCGAATGGCTTTGGTGTCCCAGTTTTCTGCTCTGGATGAGGGGTCCCGAGCCTGTGCGGGGGCAGGGGAGGCGGCTGGACCTGTGCAGGGCATGGACAGCAGCACCAGCCCGGCAGAGGTGAGTCGGAGCTCTCGTGTGTCACAGCCGTGATCCCAGCACGTGCGGTGACTCTGCCGTGTCCTGGGAAGATCCAGTCACCTGTGCCCAGCCAGGCAGCCGTTGCTGGAGCCCACGCGCAGTAGGAGTGACACATCCCACACATTCAGGGACACCTGGGCACAACATCTGCTTTTTCCAGGTGCGTAGGAATCGCTTGTGAGTCTGAAGAAAAGCAGGAGTTAGGTGGGTCTCACCCACTGCCCTCCTTCCTCCCGTGCTGGGGTTGTGGGAAGAGGAGACAGGCCCTGCCGTGCCTTTGTGCCCATGGACACGGGGCAGGGGCAGATGGACCCAGGTCAGTGCTGCTTTCACAGCAGCCCCTTTTATAAGAACAGACCATTGGGGAGACTTTTGCCACGTTAAGGAGACACAGGGGACTCATTGAATTGAAATCAACTGCAGCTTCTAAGAGGAAACTCCAGTTTGTCTTTTTTAGAATTTCTTTTATCAGACAACACGACCATTTAAAGAGAAAGGAGATAACGATACACAGTAGCCAGGCTTATCCTTGTTGAGACAGACACAGAGAACATCATGAGAAGACTTTCTGGGAAACGAGAGGTTTGACAGGTTTGTTTTGTTGAGCTGAGCAGTATCTGTCCCTCCTCTGTCAGATCTGAGGACGTGGTTGTGGGTGGTGTGGAAGCCCCACTGTGGTTTGCCAAATTAGCAGCATCCACTTGCACCACAGTGGCCATGTGCTATGTGTGTATTTCTTTGTTTTCAAGGGAAGCCACTGTCCGGAGTTTGTGCCTCCCCGATTTTCCTGAGCCCGCAGAGCTGGTCTGGAAGTACCTGGACCTGTCCACCTTTCTCCTTCTTTACCTCCTGCCTCTGCTAATCATCACTGTCACCTACACGCGCCTGGCCAAGAAGCTGTGGCTCCGCAACACCATTGGAGACATCACCACGCAGCAGTATATCACCCACCACAAGAACAAGAAGAAGAGCATCAAGATGCTGATGCTGGTGGTGGTGGTCTTTGCTGTCTGCTGGTTCCCTCTCAACTGCTACGTGGTGCTCATCTCCAGTCTAGGCATCAAGACAAAGAACTCCCTCTATTTCGCCCTGCATTGGTTCGCCATGAGCAGCACCTGCTACAACCCTTTCATCTACTGCTGGCTGAACGAGAGCTTCCGCTCGGAGCTCAAGTCCCTCCTCTGCATGTGCCAGAAGGTGCCTCAGGCTCAGGAGAACGTGCTGCTGCCCATGGTCACGTCCTGCCGCGAGGCGTGGATGGAGCAGGCCAGGTACAGGAAGGGACCTGCCTTGCAGACTGTTTGCTCCACTGTAAACATCCAGACAGCCAACACAGACCTGTGAGCAGAAGGCCTGAGGTGAGTTAGCTGGATTCAGTGGACATCAGACTAGAAAGAAGGAAGAAATTGTTTACACTGAGGGTGGTGAAACCCCAGCCCAGGTTTCCCAGAGAGGTGGTAGAAGCCCCATCCCTGGAAACATTCAAGGCCAGGTTGGACGGGGCTCTGAGCAGCCTGATCTGGTTGAAGATGTCCCTGCTCACTGCAGGGGGTTGGACCAGATGGCCTTGAAAGCTCCCTCCCCCCCCAAACCAGTCTGTGATTCTATGACATCAAAAGGCATCTCCCCATTTCTCCTCAGGAGCTGATGCTGCTCTCGGGTTTTACTACTGACTTGTATCACAGTAGCACACCTTACTCCGTGTGGTGGGAGCAGAGCCCACCAAGCACCCTCCCTGTGAGCCCACAGCTCCAGCTGGTCCAAGGAGCAGGTATATGTGCAGGGGACATGGGAGTCCACAGACAGAGTGATTTGCTTTTGGGGTTTCCCATCTGATCACTAGCAGAGGGACCCGGGTTTCCATCGTTGCTCGTGCTGTCCCAAGTCTCAGCACTCGTAACACGGGCCATAGCACCAACAGGGCTTTGCAGAGAAACGGACCCGTTCTCTCGTGTTCCAAGGAAGGACTTGGACACCCACGGTGACTCCATCCATCCACAGTTTTACCAGGTAATTTATGCCAAAGCCTCCCAGCAGAGGTGAGGGTCAGTCCATAGCAATTTCCCCTTCAGAAGGTGCTGCTCCTCCTCCTCTCGCTCCTCCTGCCCCAGCTCTGTCCAGCCCCTCCCTCTGCCGTGTCTGGAGCTGTGGAGCTGGAGCAGGAACCCACGCCAGGCATCGGGGACAGCAGCCTCAGATGGCACTCGGGCAGACAAATTTAGTCCATTGAGAATTTCTTTTTGTTTTTGTTATAAATATATTAATTCAGGAAATAAACCTACACTGGCGTTAGACAAAAGGCCACAAAATATTTCGTCAGGGCTGCAGTGTTCACTAACTGAAGAAGGAGATCATTCTCCAGAACTACTAATTGCTGTGGAAGAGTTTCATTTAAACAATGGCATTGACTCAGACTAAGAGGGAAGATTTTTGTTTACGGTCCCGGGAAAAATACTGTTTAATTTAGCTACGCTTGGGAGGCAGGTGAAGAAAAGGGTACGGAACAAAGGGAAGATTTAGTACATGGGAGAGAAAAAAAAAGAAAAGGCAGAGAAAAGAGACATTAAAGGCAGAAAGAAACCAGAATTGCTATGAGATTTCGCAAGCAGTGTGGAGCAGTGGCTGGGCACTGGGGAGCAGGAACTGGAAGGGCCTCCTGGCCTGGCCAGCGACGTCCTGTTCTCCATCATACTGTCCTTAAAAATTGCACCAAGAGCAGAGAGGCCAGACTTCTGTCAGCTTCCCTGGTTGAGCTTGAGCAAGGGACTTCTCCTACTTGGAGAAGACAGACAAAAGATGGGAAAATTTATTACTTGCTTATCCATCCAGACTTTGGGTTGAGTAGTCACAAGTCCCGTGCAGGAGTAAAGCCGTATATGTTGTGAGCCCCAACAGTTCCTGGGTAATCAGCCCTTCAAAAGTGGGTGCAATGGTGACAGATGGGCTCTGGTACAGACCTGCCCAGGGGGGTTACTCGCTGGTCCTCAGGCCTGAAGTTCATAGAGAAACACTCTGTAACAAAAAACCCCAAACAAACTGCTTGGGATAAAAAGTGTTCAGCGTTGTGTGTCCTCACCTGGAGCAGTGCTGGGGCCCACCATTCCAAGGATGTGAAGTGATGGTGATGGGGCTGGAAGGAATGTCCTCTGAGGAGCAGCTGAGGACTCTGGGTTTCTCTAGTTGGTGAAAACCAGGTGATGGCTTTCAGTCGTTTAAAGGCAGTGATGGCTGCTTGGGGTTGGGGATGCTCCTGGTCCACCCTGGACGGAGCTGCTGCCTGGGGAGGAGGTGGGTGCAGCTGGGTCACTGGTGGGGACGAGGATGTGCTCCCACCACCTTCCTGGGGGAGGATGAGACAGGCCAAAGAAGGGAAACTAAGGACTGATTTTTTTCTCCATTTTTGCAGTGTGAAGAAAGGGGGGGAGGTCTTCACTTCCAGGTCACTTGACCCCACCCAGCCAGGTCCCTGCACCTCAGGCATGTGCACGAGGAGAAGAGCCCAGCACCATGAGCAGAAGTGGAGGAACACACGATCCCTGAGGCACTTCGCTTAGAAACTAACAACTATTTGAATGTGGGCATTGAAGGCGGCTGGGTGCAGGCACTGCCCTCTCCCTGTGCAGAGCAGGGTCCGCTTTCAGTCCAAAAACATAGATGTCAGTTTTTCAAAATGTTAAAAGCATCTCTAATTAATGAGCATCACCTTATTTAATTATTACAGAAAAGCTGTTGTTTGCCTTTTTACTGTTCCTCACCTCCTCAACCACTTTTAGTGAACAGCCCACAAACTGCCACGTATTCCACTTTATTAAAATATTATTTCTTCCCTGTGGAAACAGGATTCATGCCAAGTAATAATAAGTAAGAAAAGAGTGCTCGTCTCTCTGGTGCTGTCGCATTAGTGCCGAGTGAACCGATAGCAGCACCCCAGTTAGTGAGGCAGGCACAGAGCTTGGCTGGCCCTGATTCATTATTTGCTTTTCACAGTTATTCAGCTGATTCAGACTGATACTGATGAAAAACACCACTGGTGTCACCCAAAAACTGTGCAGAGTTTAACAAAAACACTCACCTAAAATTTCATCCTGGACAAGCAGATTCTTTATTTGCTGTTTTATTGCCCCGGACCAAACTTTCCAGGGCTCTTTGAATAACACCTGCAAAGCAAACATTTCACAATGAAACAGAGGATAGAAAATCACCCCCTGCACTCCCAAAGATCCCTGTAACAGCTCGGGGAGGACTTCAGCCCCCGTGCTCAGCCCTGTGCTCAGCGCCGTGCTCAGCCCCATGCACAGCCTCGCGCTGTTCTCTGTGTGCCTTTCCATTGGCTGCTCTGTGATGCTCCATGCACACAAAACACACAGTTTCTAAAGAGATATTTCTATGTTTTCTTTGAATGTACATGTTATATCTTGAGCCTCTATGAAATAACCATAGCAACAACACTAACACTGAGATTTTCCATGAGAAATATTAAGCTATGGCTCTTGCTGTGACTCTGAAACGAAATCCACCTCACTGTTGGCAAATTCTGGAGTACAAGCCAAGCCGGGGATTAAATCCCATCCCCAGGGCTGTTTTACAGTACAAGACAGAGAGATAGAAATTTACAGTAGTTCCTTGAGATGCTTGTCCAAGAATGCTGGTACAGACTGGCTGCTGGTTTCCTCAGGAACAGCCAGATTTCTGGGAAGCAGCAGGCAAACCTTGGTGTCGTACCTGCCCATCATGCCTTCGAAAAGAGCTGTTCTGGGAGCCCCTGTCATGTCTAGTGGCTATGGGTGAAGTAGAAGTCTTAACCCTGTGTCGAGTCCACCTTTAATATTTCTTAGGTTGGGTTTTTTTTTTTTCCTTCTTTTCTTTCTTTAAATGGCTTCATAATCTTTTTCTGGAGGAATCAAAGACTGCATTGCAAAGAAGTGGGTCTCTCTTCATATCCCCTTGATTTTCTGCTGATCCATGTAGTGAGCCATCTCTTGCTGTGAAAACCTAGCTGGTTTTCCTTGGATCTGTCAATTGTAGCATCTCTTCATGGCTGAATTTTTCTCCCCTAAATGGGCATGATGTAAGAGCTGACTGTATTGCATCTTGGTAATGGCTTAGCTATCTAGGCTGCTAATTATCAATGCCTGAATGAGATTCAAAGCCTGGCACGCTTTGCCCATTGCCTCAAGGCTCTTGTATCACTTGAGGATGCCCTGACTATCAAGGCAGCACTCTCTCAGCAGCATTCAGGAAAACGATAGGATGCACAACATAAAAAAAACCAAACCTAAAACAAACTATGAATGAAGCTATGCTGTTTGATTTGGGCAAGGCACAGTGACTGAGGGGCAAGCGATTGCGAACTGCAGGTGCAGTCAGAGCCTGGGTCTGGAAAGGAGAATCTAAGAAATTCTGCTTTTGTTGAAACAGGTCAAGGTCTGAACCAACTCCGCAGGTAAATAGATGCTTATATATTAATTAATTTGTCTTCAGACATGCTGCTCACCTGTGGGAATGAATTCTGCAGTGGTGCCAGAGCAGCCCGGTGTCCGAGGTCAATAGGACCAAGGGAGATCTTCCAAAAACAGGACCACCACTTCCTGCCGGATGTTTTCCTCCCTGTTCCCAGCAGGGCTGTGCTGTCAGGCTGCTGCAGGTTCAGTGCACGGAGAGATGTCCCAGCTGGGGCAGCCCACAGTGACATGTGGGCAGCAGACCTAAGGTGGTTTGTTCCCTGCAGCGGCTCCGAGGCCGGAGAGCTGGATGGGAGCGTGGGGTGGGAGAAGAGCCCCCAGGAATCCTATACCATCCAGAGAGCTCTTGTACTGGTTGGGCACTGTGGACTGAGCCATCACTCCATGCCCTGGGCAGCGGGTGACCTGGCAGGCAAAGGCCTGGGAGGCAGGACCCCAAGGGTGAATTTGGAGGGTGGATTATTAAAACACCAAATTCCCAGAAGTCTACTCCAGAGAAACTACTTGAGCACACACAACTCAGATGCAAAGATTCAACAGAGACATGTCTGAGTGATTAACAACCCAGATTTATTAAGGTTAGCTCATGCCAAATGCATCCAACTGCCTTCAGCATAGTTGCTGATGAAGACGATAACACGATAACAGGGAACACAGCACAGGGGATACCTGAATTCCAGAGACAAATCCCCTTATATAGCCCCATCACATAATGAACAAAGAAACCACAAAATGCCAACTAGATTAACAAAAAGCAAGCAGAAAAAAAAAAAACAACCCACAATGAGTCAGAAAATTAGCTCAGGAACGAGAAACTGAATAAAATTATCATCAGTTAGCTCTTCAAGTGGAAAACAGTACTGAGGGGCTGTCCAAAGCAGG